AAACAGACGCCATTGGTTTCAAATGCTTATAAAGGGAAGAAACTTGAGTGGATTGAGCTGTCAATATCCACTACCGGTTTCTATAAGCAGATGCAAGCAAGCCTCCCTCCCAAACAGCTTGGAAGACCTTGAATAGGATGTCAAGGGGATCAAAAATTCATTACCAACCTGGGGTGTACTGTTGGCCTGGCCCTACATAAAGGATGGCTAAGTATGCTCTGTTGAATGGCTGGTTCCCCCCAATCCAGACCACCAAAATATACTCTCAATCAATAACATCCTGCCATACTTTTTATAGGTTTTTTGAGCCTCCCTGTCATGTCACTCTGCTCTAAATGCAATACTTGGTCTGATTGTGGTACCTTTGGTGATTTCTGCTTTGAGTGTATAAAGCTTTCTGGAATGAATGTGGACAAGATGATGTTATTCTTCAGCAATCAGCCTAACCCAGTTCCCCCAGCTTGGAGCCTCCTACCACCCACCAGCATCAGTCTTCTCTTAGCAGCTTGTCGAATTGCCACCACCAAGCTGAAAATCAGTCCAATCCAGGGTTTGCTTCCCATCCAGCCACCCACATGTCTAAACCTGCTTCCCATCCCGCCAAAATCAGCACCACTAGGACTCCATCTCAGCCACCAACAAGTACCTCTCAATAATCCACTGCTCAACCTACTTTTGCAGATTTCCAGCATATGACAACTGAAAAACAAGTCAAGCCTGCGACCCATGAGGCCAGAGAAAAAAAGTGCAACACAAGCACGGCAAAAGGGGTTGTATTGGTTACAACCCCCCGCAATAATGTTGCCCCAAGGTGACCAATATAACATTGGTCTCCTTGACCAATTTTGTATTGGCCAGGCCCAGTGATACATTTTTCCTTTGTTCTAATGTATCGGTGGGCCCAACCGATATAAAATTGGTCAATCAGACCAATCTTATATCGGTCGCCTATGGGCGACCTTATTGCGAGGGGTTCTAACCGATACAACCCCTTTCAAAGTGAAGCACCACCAAGCAACCAGATCCAGCTCAAGAATCATCAATACGTCACCTTGATTGTGGTCTGATAACTCTGCAGGTGAAAAAGATCACCAAGTAAACAGGAGTTTTGCGGATATTAGTGAAGATAGACCTCAAAAACACATGCCTTCTTGACAACCTCTGCAGCCAACTATGGGAATTTTTCTCTGCAGAGATCCCAAACAAAGATAAGGTAACAAGCATTGCAGCCAACCCAGAGGATTGTACTCACCCGGATTTGTGATCTTGACATCTTAATCAACTTGTCCAAGCCTTTGACTCTCAAAAATCCAGTTCAAATTGACCTTATGTACAAAAAACCAATTAAAGACTGTGCCAAAAATCTCTGTACAGATACTTCCTACTATCCCACCTCGGCTCCAACTGAACGTCATGTGTTACGCTCTGCATCAAAGTTTGTCTCAAACCTGTCAAAATCCAGTTCAAACCCCTCAACTTGGTGTTGAGTTTTCCTCTTCCCCAAAATCACTCCTTTTTCTCTTTCTAGTCATCAAAAATCAGACCAGTCTATAATTATCAAGTAGCTTGTTTTCTGTTGTTATTAAGCCCCTTCTGAGTCAAATATGAACCCTAAGTAATTAGCTTATCTCAACAACTCATGTCTCTACGATGATTTCTTCTCTTTCCTGATCTCTTTGCTTGATTTATTAAAAACTGATTACTTAGAATTAACGACTCTAAATATCCGTGGTTTATAGCATGTTTTTCTTGATTAAATCATCTGGCTTGACTAAAAGAGACTGAGAAGTTTTGTACGGTTTGTTTCTTCCAAGACTCATGTTTCTTCCTCTCAGTCTTTTATTCAAAATGGTTTTCCTATTCATTTCTCTCAACCGCAGTTTGTCCTCTTGTATTCAGTCTACTTTTAAACCCAGGCTAGTTACTAGTGAATAAAAACTTATTGGTTCTTACATTCTTTTTCCGTGAACCTTTCCCAAAAAAGACCCTCAACCTTTTTTGAGCCCTTTTCTCAAAATTCCTAAGTCTTCCCTTCTCGAGTCCTAAAATTTCAACAGTTCCCCTATTTTCCAGCAGTTTTTGGCGAGTCATTTGCAATACAGAATCCCTATTTTTCCATTTAAGTTACCCCGGCCATAAGAAGGTCTTAAGTTGTTGCCACTTGATCCCATTCTACTCCAAAGAAAGCTTCCAATTCAAGGTCAATTGGTAAGATAGGGGCTTGCCAAAAGCTAGTTTATAAGGAGATTAGCCAGTGGATCTAGAGCTTGACCAGGATGTCTTTGATTGCTTGATGTCCTCTCTCAATCATTTCATTGACCCCTGGCTAATATGGTGTGATGACTTGAGCCTTTATTCCTGATTCTTGAAGGGATTTATGAAATTGTTGGCTGAATTCAGAGCCTCCATCCACTGCCATGACCAAGGGAGCTCCATATCTTTGGATCCAGTTTTCAGGAACCATTCTGATATTTTCTTTGCTTGCAGTTTTTCCAATCTCATGGATTCTACCCATTGGTTTGTTGTTTCTGTGTAAGACTCCATTAGAAAGGAGAAAAGAGGCTGATTTGTGTAGAAGTTGTTTGAATTCCAGGTTACTGCATCCAGAAGGCTCATTGCTGTCAGGTATTCTTCCGGAAGTTTCCTAATTCCTTGTTGCAGAGCAATTACCCCCTCCCCCACATGAGCAGATGTCCCCAGCAGCACTCCTGGGTGTAGACTCTAAATCCCAGGTGTGACTCCATCCATTGTTTATCTTAATCAAGACTAGGGCAATTGTCTTTGTCTAGGTCTGGAGGTCTTCTGGAAAGTCCATCTGGCATGGTGAAGGTGTTACCTGGTGTATGTACCAAATTAAATGAGAAAAGCTGAGTAAAATCTATTCATCTGTTCATAGGGGCATTGGGGAAGTGAGGGGTTGCTCATTGTTCCAAAAAGGCACTTTGCATACACTCTTCGATCAGCGGAAAATTCTGGCCCCAAAGTTTGGTTTGCAGTTTCTTGAGGATTTTGGTAACACCACAGAGTTCAAGTTTGGATTGTGAGTATTCAGATTCCCTTTTTGAAAATACTTAGGAAGGATTGCTCCAGCAGTAATGTAGCTAGAATCCACAGAAAGTTTGATCAGGCCAGCACTGGGTCCATAGTCCGGTTTCTTGAGGGTGATTCCAGTTATCCTCTCCAGAGTGATGGCATATTCATAAATAAGTTTTGTGATTTTTGGGTTCTCCATTGTAGTCTGAAGTTGGTCCTTTGATTCCTCCATAATCAGCGAAAATTCCCATATTGTCTGGTAATTCATCCTGAAGGATCCCAGTCATCTGGGACTGGTAGACTGCAACTGAGTAAGTGGCACCTTGAGGAAGTCTGGTGAGTTGGAACCTGCCAAGTGATTTTTCAAAAGTTGTTAATGGTCTGGATACTGGTGAAAAATCCCTTTCATCATAATCTCCCATGATATCTCCCAGTCCATATTGTCCAGTAATTGACTTTACTAATCCTTCTGGTGATAGTGAAAGGCCTGCATCCTTCATGGTAACTTTGTTGAGTTGTTTAAGGTCATGAACTATCCTTAATTTGCCATATTTCTTTTTGACGCAGAAAACTGGGCTGGAATGACTCAAAACAGATTGTTCATGAAGGCCAGTCTTGAGTCTTTCCCTCACCAGTTCAATGAATTGGGGTCTGATTGGTTTTTTTGCCAGGCTTCATGAGAAATGACAGGAATGATCTAGAGTTGCTCATAAGTGTGTTTGATTAGTCCTCCTTCTTGTTCCACAAAAGCCACAGCTCCCTGTCTGAGGGTGATGGCCCAGACTGGTAAATTGTATTCCTCTTCTGACAACCATCCAGGGGGGCCAAACTTGATAACATCTAGTCTTTCTTGTGTAGCTTTGGAGGTGGGTTGAAGGGAAGGAGGGAAGGAGTTCAAGGAGTTGCATAGGGGTCTCTACAGAGTGGTGGTCTTAAAAGAGGAGGATTGCGGGAAAGGGGCATCGATTGATTTACAGTTTTGATTCATATTTTATGGCATAGATGACAAATTCTGGTTGATTGGGTGGCTGTGACAGGTCCAGATATTGGACTTGATAGCTTCAGAATCCTGCCTCTGGCCCAAACAATCATTCGTGACCAAGAAAGAAGGAAGGGAGGTTTCCCATTTGTGGTGGTTGGGCTAAAAAATTGGAATTAATTAGGCATTGCATTTGTTGTCCAAGACTGTTTAGTTCCATTGTATTTGATTTGAGCAGAGGCATCCATCAAGAAAGGTTTCCCAAGGATGAATTGCACACCTCCTCCTTTGGCAACCCAAAAGTGAACTACCCTGGTGGTTCACTGGTGACCTTACCAATTTGGGCTTCTACTCCTTCAGCAATCCTCAGTAGCCTCCAACTCCTCTGAGCTTCATATCCCTTTCAGTAATGTCTAGTCCAAGCTGTTGCGCCACTTCTTCAGGAATAGGGTTGACCATCTAGCTTAACAAAGCCCCTCAATTTGTCGGGCCAGGTTGCCTGGCGGGTGCAAGCGCCCCTCGCGAAGCGAGCCTCCGAAGGAGGGGCTTGCCAGGGATGTTGGACATTTTAGCTGTGAGCTTTTGAGTTTTTGTTTGTTTGATTATTGCCATGATTTTTTGGCCTGCTTGCCCGAGAAAATTTCCGGCTCGTTTACTACCGCCGGACAGGTGTCAATCTCGCCCTCCCTATCATGCAACATGGGAGCAGTCCTGCCTTCACCAAGGGATTCATGGTCGTTTGAAGGGGGGCATTTATGTTGTTTGATCTTTGAACTTTTTGGCCTCTTTCCCTGTATGTGGTAGCATCATAAACTGTACTCTAGTAATACTGTCTCTCTTGCATACAACATATAATTGGATATAATATGATGATAAAACCAAATCACCGTCATTGAAGTTTCAAGCCTTTTTGAATAACTTGTCCAAGACTTCCTTGAAGGACTGGGTACTGATCATTTCCTTTATTCCTCACAAACCGTTGCCCAACATGGCAACTAATCATCCGGTGGTCAATGAGAGAGTCTTGCAGGTCTGCAAACACCTGAACTCACTGCCGACAAAAATTACACCCAAGGTCTTCATCTGGCGTTTTCTTCAATCAGGCCATTCCAATTTGCCACTCCTCCGAAGACATTGGGCCGGCGATAAAGGCATCAACACAACAATGGAGCTTGTTGAGACTTTGCGGAGTGTGATTAATAAGACTGGTGTCGGCCGTTTAGCTTGGAATGCTGGCTGAGGTATGCATTTGCTTGCTTTTGGGTTTTATCCATTGTTGCTGAGTTCACTTGTATTTTTGGCTTGCAGGCAATCAAAATTCTGATAAAGCAGGAGCCCCCAAGAGGTAACTATCCTCAAGGAGGTTTCCATAGCTCTTCTACAGTTGGTGAATATTTCTTCACTCCTGAGGCCAAGGAGGAGCATGAAAGGCGACTGACCGAAGAGCATATGCCTTTCCTGTTTGGCATGTTGATGGGGATGCTCAATCGTGATGGCTGCAAAACCACCGTGGCAGAGGAAGAAGATGTTCCATTGCCTTGTGGTGTGTCTGCCACCAAGGACGGTCCTGACAAAGTGGGAGACATGTTTTATGAAGTGGAACCCTCATCGGAAGCTCAATCCCATCAGCGATTGCACAGGGTCAGTGAGCAATTCAGGTTAATTATGTCCTAATAATCTCACAACACACACTTCTTTGTAGATTGCAACAACCGTCACCTACATGTTAGCTTTTGCTATAAACCAGTAACAAAATGGTCTGCAGCTGCACAACTCTGTCCGTTTTTCTCAACAGGGATCTCAGAGCAAGTACAAGAATATCTCAACTATATTGGTTTATCTTCGGCTCGCACTACTGGGATGGCAGCGTTGGAGACGCTAGCATACAAGAGCGCTGATACGTTGAAGATGATCATGGATACACACAAGAATCTGCCAATGGCACCGTTGATTTGCATTGACAATATAGATATTGAGCAACGAGTTCACCAATCCTCAGTCGGAGTCCGCTCAAACATGCTCCAAGGTACCTGGGGGCACATTCATATCCCTGACAAGAAGCTCATTCAAACACTTGACTTATCAGAGATAAATCTCTTAGCTTATACCAAAGCCTTGAAGACAGTGGCCTCAATGGAAATTGAACCTTGCATGTTTGTCCCAACCGAGTCAGAGGAAGAAATTGAGCTTAAGGTCTGGAAATCTCAAATCGCCAAGGTCTTGTATGAGTACATTGCTATCCCAAACCATAAATCCACAGCAGTCCAAATGGTGCCCCCAGTGGTTGATCAGATTAGCCGTCAGGCCCCGGAGCTTCATATGTTGAAGCTGATTGATGCATCGGAAAATTATGCAGAAGGAGTGGGGCAGGTATTTCGGGTCATTATTGAACAGAGCAGCCTGAAAGTCAAAGAATTTTTTTCACGGTTTCAACCCATGGATGGAGATCTTGGGACTGTTCAGTGCTGTGTCACGGTATGGATTTATCTATATATTTATACTCTCTCATTCACATGTCATTGTTTTTCCAATATTTTATTATCTTATATTCTACTATGCATTTATTTCTCATCAACCAAAATATGTATTTACAAACCTATATATAGTTTTCCTCACTACAAAATATATTTTCCCCTTGGGGGAGTTTTCCAATTTCATTCTCATTTCTAGGATTCATAGCTTAACAGATTATGAGCCCGCGCTGTTACCAGCGGGGTTTCCTTCAATACATAAAACCAATATCTTGTCATTCGTCCCACCCTTCCGTGGAACAAACACTATATCACCATATAACTTTGTCATCCTTCCGTGGCAACTTATGGTCAATACTCAATCTGAACACCCCGAGCTTGTTACTCCAAACTTTGCCAGCAGAGTTACTCCACCTCGACCAAACAACCCTTCCGTTGTAGACCAATCAGTCAAGGCATCTTTTTTCCAATCGGCCAACAAATCTTTTTTCAGCATGACCGGCAAACACCATACTTCGACCGGTGACTCTAACACCAACACCCCACCAATCCCCAATCCTTCCAGCGGTCAAAACGATATTCCTTTTCCTTCGACTTCCACTCCTCCAAATTCTCAAGACTCTACGAATGCCAATCAGAACATTCAGGGCAAAGGCAAGGCAAGCAAGGAGGACAACAATAAAAGATTGTTACCATCGAGATTGCTAAGTCAAATCATTGCTTCCAAACTTGAAAAGTCAGGTTTGTCTGGGATCGATGACAACCTTTTGAAAGTTCTGTTGATTCGCAACTCAACTCGGGACAAGCAACGTCCTCATTGTCGAAGTCTCTCATCTCCGACCATCTGAAATGGCATCAGCTAGGCAAGGATCTTTTGCCACACCTTTTGATGGATGGTTCCAATTTTCCGTCATGGTCGGCGGCACTTCTGGATGTTGTAAAGTGGGTCACGGGCATTGAGAAGTACTTCGAAGTGGATCGTTCAGCCGTGGACTCAGTGACGGCAGCAGGTGTTCTAACCGTGGTTCAACAGTCGATTGACCTGGTGCTACGCTCGTCCCTCAACGGACTGACGGCATATGGGGCCTACAGATCGTTGAAGGGACGCTTTGCAGCAACCTCCTGGTCTCTCCTCTTAAATCGTTGGTCCAACATCGCACAGGCCCCAGATGTGTCGGATTCAATATCATCCAGCTATGAAGCTCTCAAGCGGAGCTGGTATGACTTAGAGGAGAGATTGGGGGGTTGGACAACAGATAAGTTATTGTCTTTGTCTTTTCACTCCACTGTCAAACGGTATCAACAAGCGATGGCTGATTCGATGGACGCGTGGATCGCTATCAAGCCTGATCACGTGGTTACCTCAGAGGATCTTCTCCATATGGCGACCCGACTTCGTCAATCGGCTACGGCATCTGGCTCTGTATCAGTGATGTCAGTCTCGTCTCAGCCCTCTCGTGGTCAACAGTTGAATTTTTCTCACAGAGGAAGGGGCCAAGGAAACTACCGCCACTCAAGGGGGTCTGGTCAACAACCCAATCAATCCTCCCGCCCTCAGTCTGGTTCAAGTACTTCGCCTCCGGACAACTGGGCCCAACAGTGTCTTACTCCCAAATTCCCGTGTAACCTATGTTGGGAGTGGGGTCACTGGGCCCCAGATTGCCCACGCGTAAAAAACAACCTTCCCCTACTTGACGATCCGCAAAAGACTAATCCATCCTGGAAGCCGAAATAGTCAACTGTTCCAATCTGGCAAACTGGCCTCTGTGACCGCGACGCCTGAGAATCCCGATGATCTTCTATGTGATACCGGAGCAACAAACCATGTAACGTTGCACACCTCATTTTTTATCAATCTTCACCCGGCTAATGTGAAATTGTGCGTTGCCTCCCAAGACCACATTTCCGTAGACGGCATAGGCGACGCCATCATCCCCACTCAGTATGGCAACCTACATTTAAAGGATGTGCTTCTGGTTCCTTGGGTTTGTGGAACTGTAGTCTCAGCTGGTTATTTCGATTGTTGGGACGGCTCCGTTGGTTTTGTCAATGGCTCTTTTGTTTTCTCTCAGAATAACGTTTCTTTTCCGACATACATCAAGAATTATTGGTGGTTCATACCTTCTTCTTCTTCAACTGCTTCTCTGAACTCTTGTCTCTTTGTCTGCTCTCAACACCTCATCATTATGGCATGCTTGATTGGGCCATGTTGCCGTCCGATTTTTCAATCGCACTATCACTACTCAATGCATATCTGGTATCCCATTAAAAATATTGCTGTTGCAAAAGTCGAAATTTCATTCATGTTCATTAGCCAAAATCACCCATGACCCTGTGAAATCTCCGTCTAGAGAAGTTGTTGATGAGACGGGTGACTTGGTTGCCATTGATCTGGTTGGCCCTTTTCCAGCGGCATTGGATGGGAGCATGTATGGTTTAGTAAGACATGATGTATTCTTGCGATTGAAGTCGGTAATTGGACTCAAGACTAAGGCTGAGGCCGGGAAAGCGGTTACGGACTGGATCCTTGAGTTCAACAAACGCACTTCTATTTCAGTGAAGGCCATCCGATCCGATAACGCTGGCGAGTTCACTTCGAATAAATTCAACAAGTTTTTGAAGGACAATAACATCTGGCACGAGTTGAGCATTCCGTATGAACATCATCAAAACGGCAGTGTTGAAAGGACTAACCGAACTCTTTTAGACATGGCCCGCACATTTATCATTCATGCCAAGCTCCCGAACTCTCTTTGGTTTCTGGCAATAAAACAGGCATGTTTCATATTCAATCGGGTGGTACACATGGGTGTCGACAAGTCAAGAAATCGCTTTGAAGAAACGATTGTCTCTTGACATGGTCCGGGTCTTTGGTTGTCAAGCGTACTTGCACGACATCAACTACAAAAAGCAGTTTATTCCGCGATCCACGGCTTTGATTCATGTTGGAATATTGGATGAGTCTAATGGCTGGCTCTTGTGGGACCTGTTCTCAAAAAAATTGGAAAAAGGGGCATCGGTGATTTTCCACAAGGATGATTTGCCTTCTCAGATGACAAACTCCGGCGGTCTGAATGCAATTTTAAACTCCATCCGTGTGGTTTCTCTGGGAGATTTTTGTCAAATTCAGGAGCTTGAACTTCAAGATGCTTGTTTGGACTCTGCGGTATTGGTTTCTCCTTTCAGTTCTGATGCTCCAAACATCTATCAGCAGGCCGTCAACTCAACTCTTCAGGCGCAGTGGTCCGCGGCTATTGATGCTGAAGTAGGCATGATGGTTCAACTCCGTGTATGGGAGGAGGTTCCAGGATCTGAATGTTGGGATATTCTCACGTGCCGTTGGGTTTTTGCTCTGAAAAGAAATTAGGAAGGTGACATCACAAAGTTCAAGGCGCGGATTGTGGCTCAGGGCTTCAAACAAATACATGGCCGGAATTTTGATGAAACCTTTGCTCCGACGCCGACTTTCTCCTCTCTTCAACTCCTTCTGGCAATGGCGTCTCAGAACAAATGGCCTATTGCGTCTTTTGATGTTAAGAGCGCTTTCCTACATAGCGACATTGATCATGAGGTTTACATTCAGCCGCCTCCTGGTGTTTCTGTGAAAACTGGGTGTGTTCTCAAGCTTTGGAAGGCCCTTTACAGCACTTGGCAGGCCGCTCGTTGTTGGTGGCTTCATTTAAAATCCTGTCTGGAAACGATTGGCTTTGTCCCAAATGCGGAGGATCAGTCAACCTACGTGTATTGTTCAGGCAAAGATCAAGCTTTTCTTTGGATACATGTGGACGACGGCCTTTTTACGGCTAGTTCTCCGCAGATCTTGGAGGATTTGAACGCTCGTCTGTCAACGGTACTTGATCTGAAGTGGGATGAACGGTTGTCTAGTATAGTTGGTCTGAGAGTTTGGGAGACTCCTGGCGGGTTCTTAATTGACCAGCCTATGTTAGTCGAGAAAATTGTTGGTCTACAACAGTCTTCCATTTGCACAAGAACCCCAATTGCCTCCACGGATCTTGAGTCAAATTTTTCCAATGGATCAGTGGATCAAGACTATCTTTCTCGGATTGGATGTCTTTTGTATCTGGCTCAGGGATCTTGGCCTGATATCACGTTTGCTGTTCATTTCCTTGCCCGGTTCTTGATGAAACCTGATTCCTCTCATTGGGCGGCTCTGGAACATCTCATCTCCTACATCCGGTACAGTAAGGGTCTTGCACTTCCGATTGTGGCGACCAAAAATTTTGAAGATGGGATCAAGAACCTTGTTGATGCAAATTGGGGCGGCAAAGTTTCCAGATCGGTACATGGATTCATCTCCACTGTATGGGAGTTGCCGGTGTCATGGTCGTCAAAAAAGACAGACCTGTCAGGCAGAATATATGGCTCTGTCTTTTGCGTCAAAAGATGCTTGCTGCTTCTCCTCGATTCTCAAGTCTTTCTACTCCCTTCCTCCTCCACTGATTCTCTGCGACAACAAGGCGGCTGTTCAAATCAGCTTGGACTGCGGCACTCACAAGGAACATCGACATGTCGACAGGGAATTCCACACCATCAATAAACTTCTGTATCACAAGAAGGTTTGTCTTCAATGGATTTCAACTCATCATCAGCTTGCGGACATTCTCACAAAGGCACTGGGATGGCAAAAGATTTCAGAGTTTTTGTCACTCTTAGGACTGAGGCGTCAGTCCAACACTATGGCAAGTAAAGGAGGGGAAGTATGCGCTGGCTGCAATGAACATGCACCCCCCGCATCTGTTCGTCTCCCTCCGCAACCTTTATTACCGGACAAGGATTGATTGGTTCTTACAGAAGCTAACCATGCATCTGTTATATTTCACAGTTGTCGACGCTTTGGTTCCTTCTCCGGATCTTTGTGTTTTCTATCAGTTGTATATCTTTTGTTTCCTTCTCTATTTTCTCTTCAAATTTTTTATTTTTCTATTTTATCTTTTGGGCCTTAATAAAAAAACGCGGTTTTTCCGCGTTTTGACGCGGTTTTGATGCGCCGCAGCACACGCGGTTTCCGCGTTTGCACACGGTTTTTTATTTAATTTTTACCGCTTAATTTTCGAGTTTTTTTGAATTTTTAAAATTGTTTCCTATGTTTTAAAGCATGTAGAATTTAATGGTAAAACCCATTTGTCATAAAAATGACTTTTGATTATTAATTTTTTTTTTCCACTCATTTTTCAATTATTTGTTTGCATGCATGTATGTACCTTATTTTTTATGTTTTTTGGAAATTTTAAATTTATTTCCTAGGTTTCACTGTGTTTAGAATTTAATGGTGTACTCCAAATTTTTTAAAACTCAACGGTTAATTTTCAATACTGAAATTAGACACATTTTTTCACTTAAATTTCTACAGGTTAATTTTCATTATTTTTTGACATTTTAAATTTTTTTCCTACACTTTAATACATGCACAAAATGATGGTAACAATCATTTTGCATCAAAATGAAAACTACATCTTGAATACTGCATTTGACACCGTTTTTTTATTTAATTCTTCACTTTTTCACTCAATTCTTTGCATTAATTATTTTACCTTTTTTTTATGCTTTTTTGAAATTTCAAAGTTTTTTCCTACATTTAGAAGTGTTTAGAATTTAATGGTAACCTTCAATGTGCATAAAACTCAATGGTTCATTCTGAATACTGTAATTAGTCATATTTTTCAATTGATTTTTAAGAGCTTAATTTTCATTATTTTTTGACATTCTAAATTTGTTTCCCACACTTTGAGACATGTTCAAAATGATGGTAATAATCACTTTGCATAAAAATGAAAACTATATCTTGAATACAAATATAAATTCAAAAATTCAAAAATGACTTCAATGGGGCTTGAACCTGTGACAGCGCTTGGAAGTACAAGTATTCCCAAAGTGGTAGCTTTATACCAAGTTTCATTTATAAGCTAGTTGGCTGGCATCACCTCGTTGGATAGTGTCGTGGTGTCCAGGCTGATCATAATCCTGACTAGAGTCTGCCTTGTGCATGGAAATCTGGAGAAATTGTTGGTGTATCCCTTTCTGATGATTGGAAGTGTTCTTTTTTGGAGTTTTTTAATTTTTGGGAGACATTTGAATCAAATTCTCTTTTTATTGTATTAAAACCTAGGAAATAAAGAACTAAATAAAAAAACGGTGTCAAATGCAGTATATAAGATGTAGTTTTCATTTTGATGCAAAATGATTGTTACCATCATTTTTTGAATGTATTAAAGTGTAGGAAAAAAATTTAAAATGTCAAAAAAGAATGAAAATTAACCTGTCGAAATTTAAGTGAAAAAATGTGTCTAATTTCAGTATTGAAAATTAACCGTTGAGTTTTAAAGAATTTGGAGTACACCATTAAATTCTACGCACAGTGAAACCTAGGAAATAAATTTAAAATTTCCAAAAAAACATAAAAAATAAGGTACATACATGCATGCAAACAAATAATTGAAAAATTAATAATCAAAAGTCATTTTTATGACAAATGGGTTTTACCATTAAATTCTACATGCTTTAAAACATAGGAAACAATTTTAAAAATTCAAAAAAACTCGAAAATTAAGCGGTAAAAAATTAAATAAAAAACCGCGTGTGCTGTGGCGCATCAAAACCGCCTCAAAACGCGGAAAAACCGTGTTTTTTTATTAATGCCCTATCTTTTCTCTTCCTTTCATTCTTTATCCTTATTCTACCTTTATTTTCCTTTTATTTTTAACCCCGTCTGTTTTTCTTTTCCTCTTTTCTTTATTTTCTTTTATTTCATTTTCAGTTTGCTTTTCTTTTGTGGTTGATGAGGGGGGGAGTGTTGTGTCACGGTATGGATGTATTTATATATTTATACTCTCTCATTCACATGTCATTGTTTTTCCCATATTTTATTATCTTATATTCTACTATGCATTTATTTCTCATCAACCAATCTATGTATTTACAAACCCTCTATATAGTTTTCCTCACTACGAAATATATTTTCCCCTTGGGGGAGTTTTCCACTTTCATTCTCATTTCTAGGATTCATAGCTTAACATTCAGAACTTCAACTGTCTCCGAGGTCAGAGGTCTCCAAGCTTGGTCCCTCAGAACCGGTTGGATAATATCTTATTTCAGCTTGGGGCTTCACATACCCTTTGGAATGTGGCCTTGACTATATTTACCCCTCATTTTGGGCAACCAAGTGACATGTCTAATTGTGCCGCTTGGCAGCACTTGGAGGCTCTTGGTTTCCCGTCTGAAAAGGCCATACAGAAAAAGGATTTCACCCTTATGGTGAACCAGATGGAACGCATATTTAAGGCAATGGTCCTCTACTTTTTGCGGTAAGTTTGTATTTTCTAACAAAGCTTGCTTGAATGATCTCTGGATACTAATATGGTGTGTGTAGGGTGGTCATGAACACAAACAGCCATGAGTGGACAGGTCAGAGGACACAGATTCCAACAATACAGTTCAATGCAATTGTGGAGGAATGTTACACCCGGTTCTTTTCTACTCAAGCAAGAAGTGAGGCCGCAAGCCTGAAGTGCCCCAAGTTTAGCAATACCCTGTCACAATTGCATGATTTCTCCACAGTTGTGGAGGCTAAACAATCTATGAGGTCTGGCAATGTTGGAAGGCTCCTGTTGATATGGAAGAAGTGGTCTCTAATGGCTCAGGCTCTACCTGGGATTACAAATTATTCATCTTACCTTCCAAGGACAGTCCTCCTCCTGACAGTGATTAGTGCACCATCCATGGCTAAGTTCTTAAAGCATAACTTGCTTTTCTCACCAACTGGGTGTCCCAATCACTTTGTTGCAAAAGACCAATGGCTGGAGGTTCAAAACTACTGGCTTAAGTTCTTATTCAACAGGAGTGGAAATGTAACAAACATAGATTGCCTACAAGACTTAATATCACCTAATATCTTCTTGGTGCGTAACACTGTCAGCCTTCCCCTCTTGTGATATTATCATTGCTGATTCAGGATGCCGTCTGATTCAGCTCCAGAGGATGTTTCATTCACTCAAAGAGGACTGTGGAGCCAGGCTGGTCAGGCAGTCACACAAGAACTGTTTACCAGCTAATTCAATTATGACGTTCACTCAGATGGCAAACAACTGCAATATCATTTCACAGTATTCAAATAGTGAAGGGCAGGATATCAAAAAAATAGACAACACATATACATTGGGCATTAAAAAAATGAAGAAGACCCTTTCTCAGCAACGGAATGAGATTGTTAAATTCAAGAAGCATCTACTACACATTAACACCAATGAGGATGAACATGCAAACAAGGGGGAAGATGAGGAGCCTAGGTCCTCTGATATGTAAATAGTGTGTATCAAACAGTTTTAGAAATAAAATATGCCTGATTTCCATTGCTAGATTGACTGTGTGGGTTGTCTGTGTGATGAGTCTCTGGCCCAATCAGCTGTGCCGCCCGCAACAAGGTCATTATCTGTTGGATTTGCTCCTTCCTCCTCTGGATTTTCTCTTCCTCCCGCCGTTTTGCTTCCTTTTGTTCAAGTGCCTTCCAGCGGCTTTCAATGGCTGCCAGCTCCTCCTTGTTTGGTTGCGGTGGGGTTACAACTTGCAGCACTGATCCATCCATTGGCGCAGAGGTGGATTGAGCACAACTGGTAATCTGTTTGGCCTTTTTGGCCAAGGGGCCTTTCTTTGAGGAAATTTGAGGGCTAATTGGTTCCAGCTTGTAATTTGTGATCCAATTGAATAGCCAAGATGACTGTCCTGCAAAGCATTCTCAACCAATGATCCATTTGAGATAAACTGGATCAGTTATATATTCCAACTGAGCCAGAATAGCGAGACAATCGTCCTTGTCGAAAATGTCCGAGCCTTGTGTGGATCCCCCAGGTCTCACGTTGGTTTCATAGTGATGGTTGAAGTCATTCATGAGCATTGTAGCAAACTGATCCATCTCAGGCACATCATCTTCAGTGAATTTTTGTTTTTTGATCCCTGGCACCTTTTGGGGGTATTTGTGCTTGATGTTGTAGTTACTTGTAAGTGTGAAATTGTTGTTCAAGATGTCATCAAAATTTTCATTGTTTGCTACTGATAGGGCTTTGATCAATGTTGCTGCCTTGACCGGGTAACAGTTGGAACATTCACATTTAGCCAAGCTCTCCTTTTTCTCCCTATCAACCTCTGTGATGTATGCAGGGTAGCCTCCCACAGCAGAATGTAACCAACACTGTCCGTTACCCCAAAAAGCCAGTCTAGGAATTAGATTCAATGTGCAAAAGACAATTTGGAATAACCTGTTATCCAAGGCAAATGCTACCCGCAGACAAAGTGTGGTTATCGCAAGCACATCCATCCTGTCTAAGTCCGTCTGAGTAGCACCCCGGACAAAGCGGTCAATATGATTCTTTCCATTCCAGCAATTTTTTTCAACAAACAAAATTGCCAAGCCCTTCTTCCCATCTCTACCACTGCGCCCAATCATTTGACATATAGACGCCGGATCGCCACGACCCATGTGAGTAACCATTTTCACCCACTTCCAATTCTGACCTAGCCCCAGAGCCATGGTGCACGAGATGACTGGAAAGCTCCCAGAGGCAAAATCTTCCACACACATAATCTTGTCCTCATTGCCAGTACACGAGTGAAATCTGCGGGCACAGTGGCTGTTGGGTTGTAATGCACCACCTGGGGTTTCTCGAGCCCAATCTATGACATCCAAGACGGTCGCTGTCCAACTACACAATCCACTATAGACAAGACTGGGTACCATATCAAGGTCTGCTACCTCCTTACTAGAGGGGAAGACCTTGATCAAATCTAGCGATGAGGCAAGAGAATTTGCCATTGGGAATTGGAGGATACGTATTTCCGGTCAAGTTAACCCGCCTTGCAATATGTCTACTGTTGCATCTGTCAGTTTGAGGCTCACCTTGATAGCTTCTACCGCCACCGGCCAACAACAAGTGGCTGACAAGAGTAACAGAGGTTTATCGTTCCAAAACAGAAGCTGGGGCCCAAATTTGCCATAAGATGGTTGAAAGATTGGATAGTCTTCATGCCAGAAATGTGCAGAAGTTGAGGTCCTGGATGTAGAGCCTTCTACCAGGCCCCATATGTCAGCTGGCAAGCAAAACCCAGTTACCCCTTAACTGGTAAACTGAGTATTTTTGCTACACCAACTGCACTTCGTACATTTCACACTCATGTCACTCATTTTCTTATTCATTTCACCCATTTCATTATTAACATACTCTGCATATGCTTGTATCTAGTTGGCCTTGCCAAGCCAGATATATAAAGTTGTACGGACTGAAGTCTATTGTTGCTCAGACTTTCAGAAGAGACAAAAATGATGACAACCTTTTATTTCAAATCATTCCTCTTGAGTTTGAAGATACATCAACAAATCACTACTTCAAACTTGCCTGTTCCCTTCCCATCACCACATCACTGTCCGGAACTCTCAGTCTGAACTTCTCAAAACTTATCAACGGCTGGGCATGCACACCTTGGACCGCATTAGACTCTCTCTACAACTTGGAGCCACTGGTCAACACCAGGAAACTTCCATTGAGTGGATTGTAGTCACCACGGAGTAACCCACCACTGACACCATATGTAAATCATATGGGCCTCATCGACCACAATCAGAGTGAGACGTTTCGGGGTCCCCCCGTCCCTCTGGAACAAGGGGATTGTGCTAAGCTAGGTTGACCATGGAGCCAGTATCCAAAAGAGCCTGGTGAGTCTTCCCATTTATTCCAAGTCTGGTTTACATTCAAGGGGGCAAGAGTATTAATGAGTAGCTGGATCCCTGTCTTCTTATTCATCAGTATCCAGGGCTCCATGGTTGGAAGAAGTGAGGTCCTCCAAAGGTGCATGGATGGAAGAAGTGTTGGGCTGAAAAAATGATCTGTTTTCCACCACCCAAATTGCCTTTTTTTCCTGGTACAAACTATGGTATTGCTTGTAGTGAATTATGTCCCCTCAGGCAGCCAATAGCAAATTGTATGGACAACCAAAGGAAATTGCTATAGACTCATGATAACAATTGGAATTACGTGGTGCTTCATCTGAGAATCAAGTTGGTTTCTTGGTTACATCAAGGGAGATATTTAGCCAAACCAATTATAAACATATTGAAGAAGCATCAACTCTGCAATAAGATAAGTAATCTCAACTTGTGATCCATTTTCATAATCAAAGGCCAAAACTAATTTTTCTTCTTCTCATAAATACATGCTTTGTCAGAAGTGTTTTTGTCATGAAATGGCTCTTGTTGTGAATGCTGGTTTGAAGGAACTGGGTCTCAAATCACCACAACCATCAAAATTAAAGAAAGAATTTGTAGATTCTTTCCCCTACTCCAATAATTGCTGGGTATGGATTTTGTTGGGATATAAAATACAAAAGTCAAATTTGTGCGTATGAAACCAGATGTATGTTATTTATTCTGTTTCTACAAGATATATTTACCAATATTCTCAAATGTAGTTTATTGATGCAATACTGCATGATGAGTATGAAAAATACCAAGATCAAAGATCCAAATCTAGTTGCAAGGAAAATCACAAGGAGATTCAGTTCACAAGGAAGGAATGGATGATGATTAATGAATTGAATGAAGAGTTAGAAGTAAGTAATTTGTACAATACTAATATATTCTGATCCTAGTTACAATACTGAATTTTATTTTTCAGCCTTTTAACTGTCTGACAAATATTATAGAGGGTGATGCTCCTACAGGTGCTTTTGTCTTCCTGAACTTTTATCATACACTTAACTTTGAAGAAGAAAGAGGACAAGTGCAGCCAAGCACACCCAGTGCATCCATTGTACATTGAAATGATCAACAAACTTGAGATCTACCAAGATGAGGCACTTCAGTGTCACACTCTCATTATGGCTACCTTGCTCCACCCATCATTCTGATTTGGAACATTCCCCATTGCTGGCCTGGAAAAGAGGATGTGGCCAAGAAAATTCTGGAGAAAGAATTTGTGAAGTGTGCAGGTGTTTTCAAGAAGAGGAAGAAAGATGATATTCAAGTTGCAGAAAACAAAACTCCTCCAGTTTAAGAAGATAACATTTTTGAAATGTTCAACGTGCCTGCAAAATCAACATAAGAAAACAAAGAGCTAGACGTATCTATCAACAACATGGATTGCCTCCAAGAAATCTCTGCAAACTGTCCCAAAGAGCTTTTGTTATGGTGGAAGGTATGAATTTCTCTTTTTTTATCACCCACATTTGATTATTGATCTCATTATGATTGGCTTTTTTATTTTTATTGTTTTAGGATCATGCATCCATCTACCCCATTGTTGCATCATTAGCCAAGGACTGATGTTTGTCTGACCGGCTGTGGAAAATTAAAACCATGAACCATTGAGAGGTGTTAGTAGTCATATGTGGTTGCAAGAAGGTATTTGAGTTTCTGGAGACCATACAAAATCACAAACAGTTGTTAGATCTTGCATCAATTTGTTTCAAAAGAAACAAGTAGAATCATTTCCATCTGTGTTTTTTACACCTTTTGCTATCTCTTTTTATCACGAATGCCATCATGCTTAGCCAAAAAAAATTCTTCCAATTGGTTTTTCTTTTTATTATTCATTGCTAACCCTCTGAATCAGAATCTGTATGAGAATGAAGAACTACTGTTTTGACTTGAGGCCATCCAGAGTGGGGATTCTTTGCACTATCAGACTTGTTGAGATTTTTGAATTGTTTGACTTCAATGATCCACATTTCCATGATAGGTTGATTCTGCACCCCAAGAACACTATCTCATTGTGAAAACATTTGATATACCACAGAATATTTTGGTCTTTTTTTCATCATCAAGTACAGTGTATTCAATGTTACTGTTCCCTACATGTTGATTATGCAGGCTGTGGGTAGCATTAGAATGCTTGAAAAGTGTCAGTGGATATCTCCAACCTGGTGGTATATTTGATTTGATCATTTTATGTTTGCAATTTCTAGATATTTGGGCAACAAGTTGTGTAATGGTCCCTTGACTAGTTTGACAAGTTTTCCCCCACACCATGGAACATCAAAGCTTTTTGTATTATAAAACATTTCAGAGCCAGAGTTAAGAATGAAACGCCTATGATGTAGCATTGATTCTTAGACTTGGAGGAATGGTGGAAGTTTTTCACATAAAATGGGCAGACTAGATTTCAGGTTATGAAGGAGAAGAGTAGTGTAAAAGTGTGTGGTGGTAATTAAGGTTGAAATCACATGAGGAAATCCTTTCTGAAGTCAATTCAATAAAATATTCAGACAGAAAGGTTACAGTACAAACATCATTGTAAAGGAGTACTTAACCAGTCTTTGGGCCAGCTGGGCTGCCTCTAAGGCTGAAAATAATACCCATAACCGGCAAAAGCATGATTGTGAAGAGTACAATACATTTGTCTGCTTTCAGTTTCCCCCCAGAAACTTCACCAACTGTGACTGGCATGTGATTGACTGACAAAGGCAGATGAATGGTTTAAATAACAAAGTGGAGTAGTTCCATGTTGTCCGTGTAGCTGAATGTGAGATTTTGATGAATTGGGTTCAGGCCTTTTTGAAAATCTTCAAAGTAAGAAGTGAAATTGTCTGAATCAGGGTAATCAAAGTTGCTATCACAATGGAGGACTTTCTGTCAGATCTGGGACCCTCGCAGAGATCAATCTAGACCTAAGAATTCTTAATTCTTGCAGGGAAATTTGAATTTTGAGGATCTCAACAGCTCTGGGAGACCCGCAGATATTGATGGGAAGTCATCCAATCAATGCCTTCTGGACGGTAGTCTAGATCAGACTCTACCTCACCGCCTTCAGATCCCTCTGAGTTATTAAAGAAGAAGCAATATAATTGGAAGGCTTTGTCACTTCACTGTTTTAGTAATATTTCTGGTGGTGATGTGGCACTCTCTTCTAAGATGGTGTTCTGCGTCTCCAGTTGATCTTTGAAGATGTTTTACCACAAATCTTTGGGAGCTTGCTTGAATCCAATGAGGCACTGAACATGTACTTCAATACACCATGAAAAAAATTGTGCATTGACTCTACTAATGTATGGCGGAAAGGCAAAAGATATGGTAGCTTGAGTAATGGTTTATGGTGTACTCCCCACTCGGCAAAGATCTTTTGCTGTCGGACTTTGGTCTCTGCTGATTTGCACTGCAGATCTGCTTCCTGTATTTCTTGATTACCCCAAGAAGCCATGGGTGCTATTGATTCAATTGAGGAAATCATTGTTGTGAATTCTGCAGAACGAGCAGAGATGGCTTGTAGACAAGTGCCTGGCAAGCCTCCTAACCTTTCTGACTGCCGAAAGGTCACAAATCACTTGCAAAAGCATAGCTTGGATGGTTCTTCCAGTTTTCAGGAAACATGAGGTGCTGGAAAAGTGGAAACCATGCCAGAAGTCCATAGAGGCTCTAGAACATTTCCAATTTGGGAGGCCCCTGGCTCCTTTGGGCCTGGTGTTATGCTGGCATTCTAGATGTTTTTGGGGAGATAGCAGTGTGAAAGTGGAAGGTTAAGGCAAACTAGAGCCTGGGCACCAAGTGAGGCCATTTTTCCAGAAGCTTCTTTCCCCTGCAGGTTAAACCAATTAATTCCCAAAGAGAATGCTAGACGGCCTGTTTTGGAGGTAAAGGTGTTCCATCCAGATCTTTTTGCTTGACCCACATTGGAGATTCCCAAACTTCTTGCATTAGGCCACTGGAGGACTTCCCGTGGATCTGGGACCCTCACAGAAGTCAATCTAGAGCCAAAAACTTTTAATTCTTGCAGGAAAATTTGAATTTCAAGACTCTAAACCGGCTCTGGGAGACCCACAGATGTT